ATGGAATCAGACCGTTCTCTCTCTCTTTCTCTCAATTACTTGAACTTGTTTCCATAACTAGGCCTATTGCATCGTGCCCCCAATAAATTCTCGATGTTGACTTTTGTGGAGTCGCCTGTGCATTTGCAAAAACTTTTCCCGCATTCTGCATATGATAGAATGAAGCATTGCTAGTCAACTAGCCAACACAGCATGCATGATATCTACGTGATACTATCGCCGCCACCACCTTCACCTATGCTAGTTCGTCGGTGCTAATCTATGTCGGCGTAGTTCCTGTCTTGAATATTTCTTTTCGATGCAAATCCGGGTAGGGTTTCTGTCGAACTGATTCCGTGTCGGCGTACTTCTGTCGGTTTTATTCCGAGTAGCAATTTTGTCGAGGTAATTCCGTTCGATGCTGTTCCGTGTCGATGCACTTACTGTCTAGCTTATTCCGTGTCGATGCATTTCCACTTCGGTGTTGTTCTGTGTCGACTTATTTCCAGTCGATGTTATTCTGTGTCGATATTATTCCGTGTCGCTTCTTTTCTGTGTCGGCTTCATTCCGTTTCGGCACTATTCTTTTCGACGTTATTCCTACCCACCTGAGATTAACAGCCAGCTACTGCGAGCCATCGATTCAATTCTCATACAGTATGATGATTGCAGGAGCTGCGTTCTGGTGAACAGGATGAGTTCGGCTTCCTTCTGGGTACGAGTTGGACTCCGTCGGGGTTGCATTCACTCTACTTTCCAGCTCCTCGTGTACATGGATGGGATCTGTATCATAGGCGTAGCCTGGGCCTCGAGGGGGGCAGCATTGGTGGTATCGAGGCAAAGATGCTTCACTTTGCCGATGATGCCGTCATCTCGGCTCGGTCTCGACAGGCGCTTCTGGGTGTGCTCGATCGATTCGACTCGGAGCATTCTGCGACAAGAATGAAATTGAGCGTTCTCAAAACGCAGGTTATGGTCCTCTCGAGAAGTCCTGTACATGCAGAGGTGGGGAGGGGGGGGTGGTCCACTGGAACAGATGAAGTAGTTTAGGTACCTTGGGGTCTTGCTTCCTAACTAGTTTTCTGGCCTAAAAAAAAATTACATCCAGGTTCCATCATCAGTTATCTTTGGCAGAATGCTTTGAATCGGTATTTTCAACATGAGTGACGTTCTCACTAAGAATTTCCCTCCGTTCCTGTTCCTATGCATCTGTGAGCATGTGGGGCACTCATCTAACATAAATCTTTCGCATTCTGAGGTGGTGAATGGTCTCAGCAGTCCCGTCGAGATGGCCACTATAAGCTGTCTCATGCACCTCAACATATGCATCCCCTTAAAAACTATGGCCTCGAGAAGGGATCGAACCTCCTTTCCTTCGGATTCCTTCGGATCGAACATTGGGGAATGCCTTGACGTGCGGTCGCTTTCCAGGTTCCTCGTTACTTTCCTGGAACGACCAGCCCAGCGGCAGTTAATAGTTATCTCAGGGGCAGTCCTAACAAAAGTTCAAGAAGTCACCACGAACAGACTTCGGTATATATTCAAGGAGTGTGCAAAGTATCATGTCTGTTCATATAATCATATCACCTGCGTCAGCTACTCAGTAGTAGCAGAGTTCAATGGGTCTAACTAGGTCCAATAAAAATGTTCAATCCCTATGATATGCAGAGAAATGATGAAATCATATCAAATTAAAGCCCACATTAAATTCTTCATGAACAATCACCTCATACTCCTGTAGAGCCAATAATTACAGGAAGCAGAGGCAATCCTTTTTTGGACTCCCCTCGATTCAGTTGTATTTGAAAGCCCTTTCAAAAGATTTGATCTTGAAGCCAATTTAAAAAATGTGAATTTACTCAAAATCAGTTTAAAGCCCAAACTGGGCAAACTACTCCATTTGAATTCTGAGATGATGGAGCATAGACCATTACTGCATTTGAGGTGTAATGATTCAATTGTAAACTTTGTAACGGGACAATGCATAGCTCAAAGAATTGTTCTGAGAAAAACTCAGACAATCTTCTCGACACATAGGATATGTCCAATATCAAGAGTCTATGAATATCATTTTCGCTTGAATCTTACTTTCTCCCTCAGAAAACGGTGTTTTTTTTTTAATAATCGCCCTATATATAGTAATTAAGCACAGATTCACTCTAAATAAAGCACATCATACATATAGCTAAAGTTGCAAGTCCTTGAAGCGCACCTAAGGTGCATAATATGCAATGATCGCTGAATATTTGGAAATACTACAAGGTAAGTATATTTCCTGTTTTAGGCAGTTTTTAGTCTGCACTGACATTTTTCAAATGTGAAATGATGTGTGTCATGGGACATACCGTGTTTCCAGTACCTTGGGCTTACCGTAGGTCATACGGATAACATGAAGTTACTCAAAATCGAGCAAATCATGAAAATTACAGCATTTATAGCCGAAGAATTAGTGCAGTCAAAACCACCTGTTTTATAGGTATTTCCAAAAAGCAGCATCTTATTATATGCAGTTAAACCCCATCATAACAAAAAGGTTGGGAACAGTGTGAATTATTTTGCAGCAAGGGAGTTTGTAGAAATGGGGATTCCTTTTTTTTTCTTTTCTAAAAGAAATTCGGGCGTTCAGACAGGGACACAAAATCGATTGGATCCAAGAACTTATTTGTCTTCGACTTTATATAAGCATACCTTATTTCAACACGTAGAAAATTTCAGGGAATTTTAGCACCTCATGCAGTCAGCAAAGATGCACGCAATGCGTATAATGGAGACTACTTCATTTCAAACTCTTAGTGTTATTGACTTTCAGGGGTTGTGCTAAGATTCTCACCCTGGCTTCCTGCCCATACATCTTGGGGGTCCATGGACCCCCGGGGACGCACAAGCAGAAGGCCTAAGACTGCTGGATTGAATAACATACTGCTCGGTTGTGTTAAGTCGGCAAATACACAAGATCGCTGAACTTTTACTTATGGGGAACCCTTCCATATCAGACCTGGGGGTCCTGGGGACCCCTACGGCAAAAAACCTAGCGCAACCCCTGACTTTCTTTTTTGCAAAGCGATCTGCAGACAATCGAATCTATCCACACCATTTGCATTTTGGTATTTTAAAAATACCTTTCAGCATTTTTCATCCATTTGCAACAGTGTAGATGCAGCTAGAATACATATTTGATGTACTCACAGAAGTACAGAGTGTTTTCAAGGAGTCTCTCAAGAAAGCAGCAGTTAAAATATGTACACTATACAGTATGTGTCGAAAGTAACACTGAAGATTGTCACTAACTGTTTACTCCAAAGGTCGCAGTGAGGGACAGGATAATTTGCACCAACATAATTGATTGACGCTAATTGTCGTACCGAGGATATTTGGTGCCCTGTACAAGATATCCTGCCCCCCACTTCTATACCTCTCCAGCTTCCCCAGCACTAACACCAACAATATATTATGTATTAATTATGTAAATTAAAGATAAATTAAGTTATGTAAATTAAAGATAACTTGCATTAATTTTAAAGGTTTTATTCATATAGTAGCAATTTGGCAGTCAATCGGCGCCATGTATGGGCGCACCACTTGCATCTCCCTTGGAACAGCTCTGATGTTGACAGATGAAGAGACCTGAAGATGTCAGTGAATGAGGTCATCAAGGCACAAGCACAACTACCTTTGGACAATCATGGCTCCTGGTTTCAGCAAGACTGCAGCAGGACTAACACTTCCCTGTGTGATTGGGTATGCAAGTGCTGTCAAATGTCCTCTGATCACTGAACAACATCAAACCCCTTCACTTCTTTCTTTGGGAATTTTTGAAATTCCATGATAATGCAACCAGGCTACAAAACCTGGCTGAGCTCTAGCAATGGACAACAAAGACTTGAGATTTCATATTGGTTGCAGAAAAATGATCACAGAGAATGGCTGTACCATCTTGAAACTGGACATGCTGTTGGTCATTGAGCATATATGATTGCACCTTGTGATCTTGTTTTGAGGTAAGCAAAAAAATCACTATAATTCCAGACTCTTGACATACTGTAGGCCAGTGGTGTACCCAAGGGGGGGGGGGGGGGGGTCATAATCCCCCCTTGGGATACATTTTACAGGTTCGATTCTCAAAAGCTTTTTATTTGGCCATATATTGGTGGGTTATCAATTTTCCATTGGGATTTTATGGGCATGCTACTGCTGTAGGCCAATTGCATTACTACATATGCAGCAGTTTCAAGAGATTTCAAGCTCTTTTGATAGGTAATCAGTGCTAATGCATTGAAGTTAGGGACATCGTGTGAATTTCAACAGTTCTAGAAATGTAGAGCCCATTTGAGCTAAATGCTATGTTATCAATGCAACTGAAAATGAATATTCTGAATGCACTTCATTGTTGGACCAAACTGCATTGTATTATAGGTTTATTGACCTATACAATTAATAGTATTTACTGCTACACAACTTGCTAAAAGGGTGAAAAACTAGTATATATAGTGGGCTTCAGATGGAATTTTAAGCATTCTGGTTGCCATTATGAGATACTGAGATTTTTTTGAAGGGATAGAGAGTGGATTATCATTTCCCAAGCAATTTAATATAATAAAATATCACCAGAAAAGCATAAAATCCCACCTACAAGTCTAGCCTGTAGTGAAAAAATATTTCCATTAAACTTCTAAAGTCCCATATTGACCCTCCTGAAAAATTTATTAGCAAACTTTCTAGTTCAACTTGTGAACGTCTTCCTTTAATTTTCATTGTACTTCAGAGTGAAGGCACTGCACAATATCAAAAGCACTGGTTCAACTAAACAAGGACAACAACAAAAAAACACCATGCTAATTAAATTCAACAAAATCCTTACAACAGCATCAATAATTTTTTCTAATCTCAGAAGAATAAATAGGAGAAAATAAATTAAACGGAGGTGAATTTGCAGCATCAATACAAAAACAGAAGAGATTCTGCAGCACTGGGACAATTTGCTGTGAGCCACACAATAATCATGCAGAAGCACATCAGTGAGAGTGAGAATGGGCAAGGCCATTGAGCACAGCAGGCTCATCTTTGTCCTTATGTGCCATTCGACCCATAGCTTTTTTCAGCTGGCCTCGATACAGGGGATACAGGATAAAGATGATATGGATGTACCAGTAAACTCCACTATAAACAGTAACCCATTTCCAGGTCTTGAAGAGGAGGAATGGCACAACACAGTAACTCAGTCCACACCAAAGCCAAACAGTCTTCAACATGATGCAGGGCACCTTCACCCAAAGAGATCTCCATGGCTTTTGCCCCCATTTGCTTCGGTCATACATTTCATAGAACTGAAAAACACAATCAAATGGATAAGAATAATCATCACATGCGTGAAGGCCATTCAGAGAGGTTTAACAATATTAATGTAAAAACTTGTGGAAGTAATGTTTGGTTATAGGAGTTGCTGGTGATGGTTTAATTCTTAGGCAGACTATTAATCCACTGTAAGAGAAAGAGATGGTGAATATTCTCTAGTTGCCTGATCTAGGACAGAATGGCAAACATTTCAGATTCATAGAATAAAAGATGAAGGGAACAACTTTCAAATGATCATTGTCTATTACAAGCACAGAGTGGGGATCTTAGACAAGGAAAGGAAATTTGATGTTCATCACATCAGAGCTGAAGAGCAATATCACATGCAAAACTCTCTTAATGGCTTTGTATAATAAGGAACAGTAGACTCACATCACGTTCCACATTGATGACAATGAATTCATTAAGAAAGGTGACATAATATCCTGAATGCAACCCATGCCAGAAGGCAAGGAAGAGGAGAGCACATGCATGAGATACCATCTTCTGCTTCAGCCACTTCAATCGCTTGTATACATACCTTAAAAAGAGATCAAGGCAAATGAGAACCAAAACAAAAAGAATGCTCAGAGAGAGCAGTTTTGGTTACACTCACGAAGCAACCCAAGCATTTGTGTTGATGTTGAAGCAGCGAATCATGTCTGAAAATTGGGTAGCAGTCTCAAAAGGTATCAACTCGATGTTGCATGTTCCATTCCATTTATTCTTCCCATCTGGTGTCTTCCCATTATATGCTAGCCCTGTGCAAAAAAATGGGGACATTTAGCCATTACAATAGCCTTTTGGATTTGCCTCAGTGGAAAGGAACAAGGATATGGAATATAGGGAGTACTTCGTTTTATTAAAAAACTCAAAATGAGAAGGGTATTATTATCCACCTTAGAGTATTGATTTGGAGCATCCTGAATGCTCAACAATCAAGAAACTCTACAGTGCACCATGGAGACTCTGTACTTAGCAGAGGCAATGCTAACTGTATAGCACTCTACAGTATTGTGGGTCACCAGCTACAGCATTAACCCTTTCCCTGGCATAGGTGTAGTTTTATGTCGACACCCTCAAAGTGTTCGGATATCCCAGCTAGGGAAAGGGTTAAACCAATGCCCACTTCTGCCTAAAAGCCCAATGGATTATTTTAGCACTTGGTTTTTTTAATATAAAGATCATGGAGATACTGTACCCATTTCAAAGCAGAACATCTTGCAGGATTTTTTTGGCAAAAATTGTCATGCTCACAGGAGCAGGGTAAACATTTTTCTTGACTGGTGGAACATGGCAAGAATAAGAATGGGGAATTAAAAAAAAAGGGTAAATTTATGCAGGATTTGGTCAGGAAGGCACACAATGAGTGCAGGCAATGAAAAACACTCTCATCCTGGTTGGTTAAATCCTGACATTGCAACTTGAGTCAGAACCATGTGAGTTGAGTGTCATGAGTTGGACATCCCAATGAATAGGTGAGAAGAGCATTGCCAAATTCATCAAAAACACGTCATATCATGGCTAAAGGAAAACATGTGAGGCCTCAATAAAACAATGCACCTTAAATGTAGAGCATAGGTGGTAGCAGTTACAAGGCATTCCATCAGTGAAATAGGAGCAACCAGCATTCAGTGGTAGCTAAGGGTCTAATGCTCGTGTGGCCAACTTCTTCCTCTTAGAGATATGCAATACTACCAAGAATCTCTTGCCAAAGAAAGCCTGCACTGAAAATGGTAAGAGAAGGTCATGAGCAGGCCTCATGGCCTGATCATTAGACACATTTAACAAATGTTAAATTCAGAGAAAAAATCTGGTAGAGAGGCTTTGTGAAAGCCATTACCCTAGATCCATGGAGAATATAACTAATATTTGCTCAAAATAAGAGAATGAGAGAGAAATCGCAAATATGGCCAATAGGCCTGCAGACTGACCCGAAACTATACATGAGCCTTCAGCAAGAAGCCAGCAAGCCAAGTACTTGGACATGTTCAATTTCCCCCAGAGGCCAATGAGTAGAAGTTTGATGTAGAAAGGCTTCTCCTACATGTATCACAAGACATCACACATACACAAGCACATAATGCACACATATGCCACCAAGTCTCCCCTTTTTTTCAATATCTAAACTGATAACATTATGAAAGTTACATGGTTCTCAATCTCAACTCCTAAATTACCAAAATTAATTCAAGACTTAGTTCCCAAGTAGCAAGGGATCATCCCAGGGATGTCCCAAATAGATCCTGGTGCCCCACATCCCACAACGGACATCCCTTGGACATGTGAGGGATTTGGCACATAGGACGACAGTATTCCTGACCTTATGGGATGTCCTCTGGATGTTACAAGGATTTCTACATCCCAGGATGATTTCATAAGGACATCCAGGGGATGTCATTCTGCCCCAAGTCGGATTCAAATTGGATGTCTCAGGGATGTCCAGTTGCTCATTGGGTTATTAAAAGTTCATATTGAGTTTGCCTTGCAAATAAGAGGTAGGGTTTACTTCACAGGAACGAAAATTAAAAAAAACTCAAAGGGCAGCTTCTGAAAATACCCAAGTGAAATCTTTAATAGTTCAATTGAAGGCAAAGAAGCAATTTGATCCCCACAAGCAGTGCAAATTACAGACTTGGCAAAGAGCAGCTCACCGTGAATGCAGATGTTGTGACATGATCTGTTGGGATGTATAACACACCCAAAAAGTGAAGGCCTAAATATAGGAAGGCAAGAAGACCTCTGATGATCCCCACACGGACACATTCATTCTCATCCTGCAAATCATGACAGTTTTATGTTTAGTTTAGTTTTTTACCGGCTGCAGTAGTAGTGAGCATGACCAACATAATGTTCTGGACTTGTTTCATTTTGGTTCTCTTGCAAACTATTTTTGTACAATAACTATTTCCCCTCCCTTCACACCATCACATCTGAGATTACTTAGAATTTCCAGACTATTAGGCACCTCTGGAAGTTCTGAGAAACTCTTTCCTGCAGGCCTTTGCAGGTTCACCAAAAGTAGTGCAGTACAATGCAAAAAAAACTAACATTTTCATAAGGCTGGGGAAATATACTTCAATATGCTTCAATTTGAGATTCAAATCTTGCAGTAAGATATAAATTATTCTGATAATTGGTTGATTCAGCTTTCCTGGAAAAGAATCCAGATGATTCAGATCTCATTTTGAAATTTAAAATTATAAATATCAAAGCTGGAATAGTGTAGGCAGCAGTATGCCAGGTGTGTTCAAAAAGTAGGGATCATGGTAGCACAAATAAAATATTTCAAGGACCAGAAATGTAATGCTGAATGCTTTAACAGCTATGTCTCTTGTATACCTGTTTGAAATTTCAGTTTTCTGTATCAGTTTTATATTCTCTTTTTCATAAACTTTTTCAGAACATTTGCTTAACCCCTTAACTGGGGAGCAATTTAAAGGGAAAATTTTACATGGTGGAAGAACTTTCACACTTCCAACTGTAAGCACAGTTTTGATGAATATGCTTTTCTTTTTACTTTTGCAATATTTCTGTGTATTGAGGTGTTTTGTCTATTAACTATATATATGGAACACTTACCTTTACTTGACAGTGAGTAATGACAAATTTTTTTAGAGCATGTTAAAGCCATGCTCCCCAGTTATGGGGTCCAGTCAATTTTTCAAAACAGACTAAATTTGACTGAAATGTCACACAACTAAAAACTGTATGCTGGCAAATATAGTGCCTTTAGGGATAAAAACTTATTGATGGCACATTCTTTCTTTAAAGAAATTAATATATCAATTGACTCAACCAACTATACTATACTTAGAAAAATTAATGGCATTAAGAAAGCACTGGGAATGCTTAATCATGGTGGCATTTATAATCTTACATTACCTGCAGGGGCTGGTTTAGTCTCACACTTAGTCATTTTGTACCAGGTAAAATGTAATCCTTGGAGAGAGGTAATTTTTCAGTTCAATTGTCTTGCACTGCCTGTTTTCAACATATAAACTCATCTAAAAGTTCAAAAAATTCTCATATCCTTTTCAAAGTATGTGCACAGCATGTGCATATAATCCATTTTAAACTTGTTGCAGAATATTAGTTATAACTTTGACTTGCATTAATGGATTTTTACAATATTTCAAAATTGTAGCAGAAGATGGCAAGCTATTACCATTCCCACCAAATCTAGTGAGACTTGATTCAAAATGGTCATAGGATACAGTAACAAAGAGAAGTTTGCCCCGTTTTTTTGCCATACCCTAAGCAACATCCTAATGAAAATGAAATCATTTCTTATATCATTTGTACTTCTTTTTATAAACTGAGTGTCATTTTCCATCGAAATTTTATTCTCACTTACTACTTTTCACCTTAGTTCATTTAAGTGAGAGAAAATAACAGAAAGAAGTCAAAACTCTTGACTCACCAAGAATATGTGACTGTAAGCTCGAGAGGTGTATTCCAAGTATCTCCTGATGGGGAACTGAGGTCCAACCACAAAGCTGCTAGGAAAATATGCATGGCCAAGGATTTCCAGCAAGGATGGTGTCTGCTTTAGTGCTCTTATTTTCTGCTCAGGACTCAGCTCCTCCTGCATGCATCCACATGAATATCTCTCAGTAGAGTGCATTCTGCACTACTACACCTCCTGTTTCTTCCAAGTGGAGCCCACTTGACATCATACAACAGAGCATGCCCTGAGGCTGCCTTTGCTTTTAGTCTCCTAAAGTGCAGAAAATCAAGATCCATTTCATTGGAAAATCTCTTATCTATCACTGTCCTCTCTGTGTCTAATTATTGATTACTTTTACCAAAATGCTGACGGTGCCCAAAGATCATTCCAAGCACATGAAAACAAATCATCTGTTCATGTCAAGGTAAAGTCAACCTTCATAAATCTAATGCCTATAGAATATTTGACTTCATTTGAAATTTATTTGTATTCTTTAACTTATAAAAGATAAATTAATTTCAACCCTACCAATGGAATGCATCTTCTTAATGGTTAGATTATAGGTCAAAAACCCATTTGACTTCATTCAAGAGATATAAGACATCTTACTCACTGGTTTCTTGGTTCCATCATAAACATCAAATGCAATCCCAATGAGTCGAAGCGTGAGGACACAGTGAGGCATGGTCCATTTGATGTCATATGTATCACTCTCAGTGAAATAGTACCCTGTATACAGAGGCATTTGCGTAAGACAATTTTCTAACAGAGTTTCAAGTCTTGAGAGAGTGAGAAACAATTAACTGTAATTGAGAATATTAATTAACAGATTTTAAAAATTTTAAGCTGTAAATTAGTCCCATGTCTTACCTGCAAGAAGGTAGAACATTTGAAAAGTGAACTGGAAAGCCACAGTATAGACTGCTGGGATTCCAAGAAGGAAATTCAAATGCAGCACCCATATGCACACAACTGAATGGATTGCATCTTTTCCTGATTGAAGAAAAATTGAAATATGTCAGTGGTCTGAATGCTTCATAACTGCCACAATATGGGAAAGGATAGGTAGTCAAAAAACTTGCCATAGTTGAAGTAAGCTAATGCAAGACCACACAGAATGAAGAAGATGTGCTGAAGTTCAGCTTCCTTCTTTGCCAGGAACTTTCGATGAAGGAAAGCAGATGGATATGCTGCAAACAGTCAGAATCAACACAAGTTCACAGATCCAGTGCTACAGTGTTTATCACTTGATTCCCATGAATAGGAACCACTCAGACATCTCCACCTCACTTATTAAGTAAAAAAAAGGCCAATGAGGCAGAGCTTAAACTTATAATGTACAGTACAAAGCTCTAAACACTGAGCCACAACATAGGTCTACTTGGGGATGATCATCAAGCACAAGCCACTATCAAATCACAAAAAAAGTCATTTTGGATAAGAGTCAATGCAGGCAATTCTTGCTCAGTTATCTTCCAGAAGAAATCATTGTTAGGCATAAGCTTTCTCTCCATATTGGTATCATAAGCAGGGCCACCCAGAGGGGGGCATCGGGGACAACCTGCCCTGGGCCTTGCATATCAAGGGGCCCCAAGGGGGCCTTCGGATTAGTTTTGCCATGGGCCTCTGGAAACCTCTGGGCAGCCCTGATCATAAGAAGGAATTCAAGATGAACTGATGGAAGAGGATCAGAACACTCACTTAACAAAAGAGTAAGAAGAAGTCGAATCCCTGCTTCTGAAGATCCAGTGACCTCAGATAGGCTAGAAATAATCCCAGTTCCCTTTGAGCGGGAGGCTTCAAACCACCAATCCATTTGGGTAGGAGAACGGATAGGCAAAAATTCCTACTGCAATTCCGAGTTTCCTCGGGTTTTCCAAAAAAAAAAGGGGATACGTCAGACGGTCAACGAGGCTTCTTGGCCCTATCCATTCACATGACATCGACGCTGGGCAAATCGAACCTGGAATGAGAGAGAGGGATCAACCACAGGGTTTCCTAGGCCAACGTTTACGTTTTCACCTGACTCCCATGCACGGGAAGTACCATACACATGTGTTGAAGAATATGAGGAAAAGGGTCCGATTCTAACGGAATGATGTGGCTGCCGAGGGAAACTTTTATCATCTCCACCCCTCGCAGTTATAAAAGTGCAAGACGCCATGCCGGGCTGGCGGTCTGCTGGAGAGGGGGGAGCCTTTGAAAGGTGACCGTCAGATGGCACTAGCAGGGGCATCTCGATTGCCGCGGGGGGTGACATCCCAAGTAAATCGGATTTCTCTTACGGAAATTACGCTAGTCTAGAGCAATCGGATCCCTCCTTAGGGATCACTATAAACTACGTAATGACCAATTTTTTAATTTCCTCTTTAAGCCTGCTTCCCCCTCCCCCCGGTGAAAAAGTTCCATTGAGATTCGTATACTGTAGAAAAATCTTATAGATATCACTATAGAATGGTCTACAGAACTTCTCTATAATATTTCTATGGGGTTTCTTAGGATTTGTATACAATAATCAACATAATTGTATAAATGATAGAATCCTAAATGGTTACAGACAGGAATCCATGCAGAAACTAGGGAGTCTTTCAGAAAATTCTATAGAATCTTATTGAAAGTAAAGCGCGTTTCACACCTTGTGTGCACATGCATGTCCACTTACATCCAAGGATTTTTGCAAAACGCAAGGCTTGCGTTTGAAATTGGGATCGGTTCAATTTTTTACTTCCGCAAGCATGCATAAATAGGTGAAGTTCAATGAGAGAAAGGTCGCCCAGTGCGTCGAAATGCAGTCACATCTGTGACTAGACGCACTGGCGCTCTATCAGCACCGACGCAGGCGCAGGTACGAACGCACAACATGCAAACATGAAAAGTCTGAGCTTCCTGTATGCATTGCTATATCGCACACGCAAGAGACGCAGAGTGTGAAACGGCCTTAAAAAATGGGATTCGGCATAAGAAGTTGCATGAAAACCGATAAAAAGTTGGGGAGACGACTCCATAAATTTGTATATATAACCTCGTAGAAGATTTTAGGAATCTATTAGTTGTGGAAAATCAATAGGGAACAACAGCAAACAGAATACTTAAGGAACTCACAGGAGAATTCTACTGATAATCACACTTGGGGAACTGTTCAAAACAGTATCACAGCATAGTGCAATAAAATGCATGCACATCTGTACATGCTATACTTCATATGAATGGTACTTCAGAAACATGGAGGCTTACATCTACACATGGTAATATAAGTCTGCAAGGGGTACAAACATTTCAATGCAATTAAGGAAATTTCTATAGAAGACTTGATAAAACCCATGCAAAATTCATAAGTTTCGGAAAGACTTCTTCACCAGTTTACCAAGGTTTCTATAGCCTTAGCCCATCTGTTCATTTGTATTATTTACAGCTGAGAAATTGACCTATCATTTCGTCTCAATCTTCAACGTCTGGGTTGGTACATGAAAAGGCAAATTCTACGTCCATTATGGCATCCTGTGTCGAGGTCGAAGCTTCATATAATCACACAGAATATCCATATCAAATGAAGCTTAAAACAACAATAACACATCGATGGACTGAATTTCACAGGCTTCGTGGATGGCGTATACTTTCCTTAGTGAACAAAAAAAGGCATAATTAAAGTTTCGCCTTCTCAAGACTGTTTTAATCGTATCGAAGCATGCCTGTACGGTGCTCAAGTCGAGACGCGCTGCTACCACAGAGAATATACGTTTCCGGATGAACTTTTATCCACCTAACCCCAATCGCAGGAACTCTTGTCAACGGTGCTCGAAAGAGACCTAGTAATCCCAATAATCATTCATGGGGAAAGAGGTAAGCGATGAGAGATGACAGGGAACTGCTGCTTAGCAGCCAAACGGTAGGATCTATGGAGCACATGTAAACGGTGTTGAGAGCCAATCTGAAAAAAAAAACTGTGATACGTGCACCCGAAGAGGAAATGACTATGCCTTATGATGGGGATATGCAATCAGCAGTTGTGTGAGGTATGGTGCAGTAGCTCCTCGGAAAAAAGGCAGGTGTCGCATGCTTCTAGCCATCTGATCCAGGAAATTTTCGAAGAACAAAAAATGCACTTGCGCGAGCCAATATGTTTCAACAAAATGAAGTTTCCGCTGACTTAGATCGTGAATGCGCCCATTTCTTTCGCGATCCGAGTCGACTGGTTCGACGACGTAACTTTCGCCAAGTCATTCAAGCCTCCATCGAGTCTCGAATGAACCTTGCCGATCGCACTTGCGACTTCGGCGACACATCGTGAAACCAACCCCTTAGCATGGACACGTCGATTCAACGTTTAAAGGACGCAGACTTTTCGTAGTAGAAATGCGGAGGAAATGTAATCCACCCAGATAAATTTATGCGAGGGGTGCTCGATAAGTTCTTGGCCTGACCACGATGCGATGATTTATCGGTAATAGTTTCGTTATGTCTTAAAATAGTCACCCATAATGACATTGCGATCTCCCATCGTCCCCTTAGAAGCTCTATATGCCGGCCTCAAACCACTCTTTTTCGAACCCTTACAATCACCCTTCAGTATCGCCTATTCGCCATAACACTATTTTCGTCCTCAAATCTCTTCCTACGCGGGTGTTCCTTCAGATGTGGAAATGTAATCACTGAGAGCCAGGTCAGGTGAATGAGGTGGTTCGGAGCCAGCATCATGGAGGGCGACCTACGAAACATCGGCTGTGTCAGCCCCTGCATCGTTTTGCAAAATGAGGACCCTTTTCTTCCACTCTCCATGGAATCGTGGAATTTCCCCTGTAATGCAGCAGAGTGCTGGCCCTTGGTCGTACTGCACATACTGTAGTCGATGAGAATGACTTCCGTTGTGTCCCAGAAAATCGTCGCCATGACTTCACCGATGATTCGTCACATGTCATGTGTGTCTTTACGGTATGAGTGAAAATACGAATGACAGGAGAAAAGGAATGCTTTGATAGTTGCATGGGCGAGAAATAGAGAAGAGGGGATTCAGTTTTGGTTGATCTAGTTGATTAATCGATCACGGATTCTGTTCTCTGTATGTGAAATCGTGAAAATCGCAGAGACAGAGCTCTGACAAAGAACGGCAAATTTTTTACATTTCTTTTTCTCTCTCCCTATATGTCCATATCGAGACATAAGGTTCTAGAAAAGTCGATTTCTGTTTTTTTTTCTTTTTCTCTATCTATCTTAGCCTCCAAATCTCTCCTCTATTGTTCGATTCAGTTCCATTGGTTGAACAAGGCCGAACTCCAGACAGCGCAGGGCTATTTTTGAGAAATCCCATCGTAGCCCGCCCCTCTCGTGATTCAACTTGATCGACTTTCGACTTTCCCTGGCTATTCTGGGAATCCCTTTCTGGGAATCATCGACTCAACGAAGGGAGGATATGGAAATTTAAATTTAAAAATAATAAGACAGCCTAAGCCAGATCAACAGGCGGAGGGGGGAGAAAAAGGTGGGCGGATGGGGAGGGGGTGGGGGAATGGGTACCAAGCTGAGGAACGTGAAGGAAGAAAAGGGGCCAGTGAGCGATATCGGCCCCTTTTTCTGTCCATTTAAACGGAAAATATCCACTACACTCAGAAAAGAGAGCGATTTCTGAGAAAGGGAGCGAAACTGGAGTAAGCCTCCCTAAAACGAGGAAGTACACTGGATAACTTCTCTCTTATATGAGCAGAATCCATAACTTTTTTGAGAGCAAAACGAAGGAGGGAGAGTACTTTTCAAACAAGTAGAAAAAGTTCAAGAGTGAGGAAAGAGTGAGGACTCCTTACTTATCATTTTCTTCTTGAAGTCCGAATATCCTTCGTCTTCAAATAGAGAATCCTTCTTTCCGCTTTGTCAGGGAAAAATATTCAGAGAACCAATGCTATTCTTGCATTTCATGTTAGCCGAAAAATATACCGTATAATGAGTAAAAATTAATTTTAATTTTAAATAGTTTACCAGACGAGGCCCGAGCCCGAAACTTGCCGGGTGGTGGAGAGTCCTCGTGTCTCCACTGCATCGACCGCTGCTTGGATTCTGAGTCCCAGCGGTCCAGCCGGGTTTCATCCCCAGTAGCTAATCGCGAACAAAAGTCCGCTAGATCTGCGATGAACCCGTCCAAATCCTAGGCACATTCAGTTATGACTCGATTTAACCGGGCGAGTCATGACTTGGGACATGGCCCTCTTTGGCATCTGACACAACTTTCTGAACGCATTGGGTCATTAGCCAGTATGGCGGCGCAGAGATTCTTAAGTGAAGTTTAACAGCTTTTCTGAGCAGTAACAACAGCAGAGGTAGTTGAAATTGGAAAATTGTGAAGTGGCACAGAATACTCTTCAAGATCAAATTACCACTCCGGGATATTCATAATGCTTAGAGCTCAGACACACCCTCTTGTTTATTACATCATGGTGCCACTCGAGATAGTGATCCCCTCAGCCAGCAATAAAAAAATGTTCGATACCAAATTGGAAAATTCTCGAATCAAATTTGAGAAGGCCTATGCACTTCTCAAAAGCAAATTCGGAGTATTGCAATTCATATGCGCTAGGTCAAAGAAAGGCACAGCCGTCGTGTTATCCTTTTGAGTCGTTCACGACTTCATTCACGTGTTTCTCCGAATCTGGGTACGTACACTTGCCGTTGGAAGCCTTCCATGGAAGATGCCATGTTTGGAACGACTCGATCTCTGAGATCGAGTCATAGCACGTAACTCGGGTTAGGGTTCTGCGTCATCACCCGATGCATTCAATGTTTCGTGCCATGACTCACGTTGTAGCCCGGGTCACAGCTGAATGCGCCCCCCGTGGACTTGATGACTGTCACCACGTTGAACGACGGACAACATTCGGGGAATACAGCAGGCACAGACCTTCCACAGTCCCAACTTTTGGTGCAAGATGATCGGAACACTACCCCTTGAGAGACACAACACCTCTTCTATTTCGAAGATAATTAGGCAGAAAACGTCTAACGTCTACGTCCATCGTAAATGCGAGGACCTTTCAGAAGCTAGGTATACTCCGTTTAGTTTTCAAGGCTATAGCAGTCGAACAGTGACACTGATAGGCCTACAGGAAAGTACCATGCTTCAGTTTCAGTGCATCATCTTTCACAGTGAAGCTTCTGCTTCTTGTTATAAAATGGTCGTTCATTCTCGGCTGCCGAGCGTCTCGAAAT